TCATTAGATTTCCTCACCTTGAATGATCGAATGAATCTTGGTAAAATCTTCCTGGTATTCAAGTTGGACACTGCATTCTAGGTCAGCTTTGTCGTGCTAAGTAGAACAAGACCGTTGACCGCTAGAACCTTCTTGTTCTTCCTTCCGCTCTTATCTGCTTGTTCTTTTTGCAGATCCGGAGCTTTCGCAATTTCGTGTCGAATAAGCCAAACAACGGCTTGTCTCTTTGCGATCAAGTCATCGACATGCTGTTCCTCACGACTTGTCATGTCGTTTAGAGGGCTCGTTGGGTCAAAATTTGCTTTTAACTCTGTGATAGCGTTTAGGTCTGGCTGTGGCTCTACAACCATGGTTCCAACCCCACTTAAGATAGAGACCTCGCCTATTATGGAAACAGGTACATTAGGATGAATATCATTGCTCACATAAAATTGCGAGTGATCTATCAAGACATGCGTGGAGGTGCTCAACGCAAACTTTGCAAGAGGAAGGGATTCACTCCACTCTTTCAAGGACGTAGCGTAACTACGCAGTTCAGGGTGTCCCGCTATTGATATGGACACTTTATTGCCCGATAGTCCAAACAGTCACGCCAAAACGTTGACGTGAGACGGGTGTCAAGGTCAGACACAATCTCAACAGAAAGACCACGAAGACGGAGAATAGCGTCTGCAAAGACCTTGATTGTTTTCTCGGCAGAGATCATATCCAATTAGGCGCAAGAAGTACCATATTGTCCAAATTGTATCTCTAATACAAGGATGCGTCCATGTGTGTCACGCGAAGCCCGAATATGAAGTCTATAGTCACAGATTTCCAGCTGTCAGTCGGCACTGCCAACGACCGAAGTGGGTCCTTACTGGAACCCAATGAATTCACTCTCTGGCAGATCTCACAAGTCCTCACATACTTGCGCACCCACTCATACGTGTGTGTTCGATAGTAATGTCTGGAAAGACTGAGAAATGTTTTTGTATGTCCGAGATGGCCTGTCATGGTGCTCTTATAAAAGACGATGACGCAAACCTTCGTTATTTGGAACAACAGCTCTTGCTGTAACCCCGTGTTCAGCTGCATAGTACAAAAATCCGTCGTCTACTCTAAACGGTGAACACGCGATCTTGTACAAGACGGAGGACCTTGCAGTGCTTTGTCGGAAGGGTCATTGAAATTCCTCGACAAGTCCTGACATGTCTCATCAGACTTGCATCCGTCGAGAATTATTCGCGCATTGTAGTCATAGCTTGCACACCGATCGTCTAAACATCATTGCATTGTCGACATGACTCGTGCATGTTTTCGCTCCGGGACGTTTGTTCATAGTTCGGACTTCTTGACAACGTATCGGCCAGAATGTTCGTCTCGCCTAGCTTGTAGTGTACAGCAAAGCTGTACTCAATAAGACGGAAACCATCGAGCCATTTTTTGCGATAAGTGAGGAGTATTTACTGCCGTACGCAGTAATGCATGATCCATACAGATTGAAAAGCGCTCCCCTCCGGAAACTAAGCAAAGCGTACCTCATTGCTAGAAGCTGTTTGTCATGAAATGGATAGTTTCGTTCCACGGGCCAGAGTTGTCGCGACCGATACATAACAACTATCTTTAGAGCCTTATCATCGTTGATCATCAACGCACAACCGATGGCATAATCACTTGCATCGCAAAACACATGAGAATGCTTATCGTAGTTTGCAATCGAAAGGACAGGAGCTTCTCTCAACCTCTTCTTCACTTTAGCAAATACCGCCTGGTGATATTTCGGCCATTCCCACTCAGCGTTCGACTTTGAATGAGTTGTTAGGGGTTGCACTAACGCTGCATAATTGCGCGAGCATTTGTGCAAATAGCTGGTCATGCCTTTTTGTCTCAGCTGTTTTTCAATGTTTGGCACAGACCAATCATTGATATCTTTGACTTTCTCTGGATCTAAACGAAAGCCATTCTTGCCCACAAAGCAGCCAAGAACGGGGATCTCTGGTACCGAAAAATGCATTTTATTAATTAAACTAGAGTTTACTCTGTCGCATGACTTGGAAGCCCTGACGAAGATGATCAAGATGAACATCAACATCAGACTTCTCAACCGTTTTTCTTAATATGAACGAGCATATTGTCAAAGTAACTCGAAGCAATTTCTCTCAATGGATGAGGAAGATTCGTGACAATTCTGTTGAAAGTCGAGAGGGCGTTCCTTAAACTTTGTGGCATCACTAACCATTCCTACAGCGTACCACTGGGGGTACTGAGTATAGTTAGTGGTATATCATTTTTGCGCATTTGTTTCTGATAGAAATCATCATTCATAATGATTGCACGGATCATATCCTTGCGTGGAACGGGAGTCTGGACAGGTATGGTCGCATCGATAAATATATCTGGCTTTATTCACAGAGAAGGTTGGACTCACGAACATGACCAGCCTTCTGAGGCTGCGCAAAAAACTTGTCAATCGCTATGATCTGTTTTTTACAACGGTCAATGCCGTGCGATACAATACTTCGTACTAGGAAGTATCGCAATCTCATGACGAATGTCTCTGTCAGATGGCAATTCTTCTGGCACCTTGTCTAGATTATATCAGCATATCCCTTGACTATTCCATACACGGGGGTTTGAGCTTCAAGCTGCCCACGACTGCCTATCAAACCTTTCTTTCCGTGTCTCTCATCAAATACTTCACCAGTATTGATGTCATCGTCGATCGTTTCTTCGACAATCGCGGATAATTACGATATTTTGCCTTTTGCCAGGCTACACTTCGGCGTGTTCTTGCTCATCAACGGCAAGGAAAATTAAAAGCTCAATTTGACTGAACATGGAGGATTTTCAATCTTCACGTGACGGATAACATTGACGTCACCTTCTTCGTTGTAGGCCACAACATTTACAAACTCGCTTGGGGTATCTTGTTCTTGATCACTTTCTTCGTCGAAACATCTGATCCCTTGAGCAGAGGCACGCAAAATACTTGACAATTTTTTTTTTGTGAACTTCTTATTTTTCTCTCGGGGTGGGTTTTTGCCTCTGTTCCCACTATCCCTCATACTACCATTAATCTTTTGAATTTTCTCCTGCGAACATGGTGGGGCATCACACTCCACAATATCACTGAGAAAATCTATCACTTCTTCAACAAATGCATCCGCCCAAACCATGTCGCTCGTAGTCATGAAGCGGTGATTAGCCCTGCATGACTTGTTGACTTCAATCTTCATATTTATCCTGTCAATGCTAGGCTGGTTACGCTTCAAATATGGCATACCTAGGATGATTCAAAGCTTATCATCAAGGTTGAGAAAAATATACTCGTCTTTACCACAAAATCTTCAAATTTCATTGCCAAGCAAATGACTTTCTTTGGATTATTTCTCTTTTTAAATTTGACTGGCCCCAGTCCTAACTTGCGCTCGAGAAGGTTGCTCGACGCACCAGTGTCAATCAAACCTAGTAGTGGTATTTCAAACCATCTACACAGACTTCTTGGATAGTAAAAGTCGCACTTTGCCTTACACTACTATCACTTATAGTGGAGACTGTATGAGCGTCCTGAACGTTATAGCCAGCGTTCTGTGTATTCGCAGCATCTACAGTACTCTTCACGGGCCCAGTTGGGAGTCATGCCCCTACTGATCGTTGCCGTTTCATGCCCTAGGGAGTGTTTGAATCGATACGTTAAGGCGTCCATAGTTATCCGAACGAGCACCCTGTGTCTGTTGTTAACTCGGCAAAGACACTCTGCAGTTCCTAGCAAAATGACCCGGCTTCGAAACTGAAACACTTTCCATTGTTGCGAGGACGCTCATTTCCAGTGCGGATATGATGGCTGGACGTACTTGCTAAAAGGCGTGGAGTTGTACATGGTGTCCATTGGCTCTAACTTGTATCAGTCGACTGATGCTCTAGCCTTGGTACGAAGTGTAACGGAGGTTACACATTCCAGGTATGAAAAGGGGGTCACACAAGATGGTGTGACCGCAAAATGGTGTGGCTACACCATACATTGAATCCACTGCGTGGCGGGATTGCCAGTAGCTATGCAATTCAATTAGGTTTTACTATTTTAATTCGGAAAAACCTATACATTGAGATATAGATGGCGCTGTCGCAAAAAAAGCAGATAGACAGTTTACATTTAGACGAAAGAGTTAATTTGCCTTGGATTGAGAGTGGTTGGTACTCTTGAAGTTAGCGAATTGCGATCCGCTACATTCGTACCGGTTCAAAGTATAGAACAAAAGTCACCGACCTTAGTTGAGCTACCTCTTAGCAAAGAGTTATTACGGCATCCCCACTGCGCTTAATAGCACTTGAAGTCAATCTACACCTGAGTCGTTAAGGTTGATCCTCTTTGAGGATGGAGCAGCTTTTTTATCTGCCCCAGGACATGCGGGACAGGCTAAAAAAGCGGATTGTCTCTACTTGGCCATGAGGGCGCGCAACGCTTCGCTTCACAGGGACCTGCATCGACCAGCGTGCGTCTAGAGGTACTTTCGAGCTGTGAAATTGCTCAGCTAGAGCGCCTAGAGCAGAAGATGATGGCGTCGAGTGCGTCCATGACGCCACCGTCGACGACGGATGACTCCTCCCGAGCGTTAAGACCTTTGAGGGTAAGGATGGAGAGAATCTCCTGCTCCGGGTGTGAGGTGTCGAGATGGATATTGCGTTCTATGCTCCAGAATGAGTAACAGTGCGTGGCGCTAGCTATCTTCAAGCTAGGAGGTCGAGCGCGAGAATGGGCACTGGCGTGCGGTACTTCGGCTATAGCGGCGTGTCCCTCCTATACGGATCTTGAGCTGCAGTTTTTACAAGTGTTCTTGCCGCTTATTCAGGTATATCGCGTGCGATCGCATTTCCTTGCCGCCCGGCAGGGCAAAAAGGAGTTGGTGGATTTTGTTTAAGAGTTGCGTAAACTCATCGCCGGTATGGCAGGTAATTCTCTAGCCCGAGGCGGCCACAGTGACCAACATAATGGAAGCCTCCACACCGGTGTGGCCAGAATGGAAATCATTTATAAGAAACTGTCTTCTATTGAAGAAGCAATGAAATTGGGATTAAATGCCGAATGCAACTTCAAGTCGGCACGACTCGGTAAGAATGTATATCCTCATTGCTCATCGAGCGAGCATACACCAATGGATCTCAGCTATGCTGAGAAAGAGTGCACAGAGCTCCAAGCTGCCGGTCATCGTTTAGCTGTACGTAATCCAAAAGGCACTGCTCATGTTTTGAAGCAGTCGCTGCATGCCACGAATGGCACTGTCGAACGAGGTCCAAGGCATCTTGGGCAAGACCTTTCAGATGCGCGTGGAGTGGCACGTTACCCGCTGGACAAAGATCACAGAGCTAGCAGCACTTCGTCGGATGTTGTCAATATCATTAAGGCTCCGGTGGAGCAAGTGGAGCTAACACTGAACGACGGTAATGTCGTATATTATCTGCAAGACGCAGAGCGTCGACCCTGACCCAGGGTGTGTCTATCGTAGACGATAACGCACAGCTATTCACCCTTGTCAACGGTTTGACGGGGGAGGAAGACGGCGAAGTCACCCCGTGGTTGAAAACTCTTCTTGAGCTGAACTAGATATCGTTCAAAGAATTTGGCGGTACCATGAAGGCAGGCAGCTTTTCTAAAGTGGTCATTATACGACCGGAAGCTGGAATCATCCCGTCGTCGCTTCTGGATGAAGCTGTCGTGGAGGGTACCAAGAGGGTGCTGAACGATCGAAGTGGATCATCAATCTTGAGGGAACCCTCGGATCCGCGCTATCCGTTGGCAAAGGAAACTCAAGACGTCGTCTCCAAAGACCCGCCGTCGGACCACCGGGCCGAGGTGTGCCTCATGAGATCGACCTAGTTCTGGGAACCAAATACTGCGTCACACGCCAATGGCCACTGCCCAAAGAATAGTGTGACGTCATTGACACCTTTTTCTATGCGAAGCACGACGCAGGAATGGAGAAAGCAAGTCTCCCATTCGACACCCACGTTTTGTGTCTGGTTGCCGAACGGCAATTGGTATATCGTTCACGCTTACAATAAGCTCAGCCCTGCCACCATTCCGTCGTAGACGCCGATTTCTTGAGAGAGTGTTTTTTAAAACAATACGATTGGCTGTACAAAGTACAGCACACTCGACTTGGTCGATTGCTATTACCAATTGCTCATGAGCGAGTGATATTCCGCAGACAGCGGTGAAAACTTCAAGCGGCAAGCTCTGAGAGTGGCTGGTGATGTCCCAAGGACCGTCAAATGCACCGGCAACATTAAGTCGTCTTATGACGCAATTGTTCAAGTCCCACCAGCGTATGCACAAACATACTTCGGCGACATCTTCGCCCACAGTCGTGCGGGGCACAAGACGAGGAATGAGGAAAACCACATCGTCCATTTGAGAGCGATGCTGGAGTGTATGCGCACGATTAAGCTGTATGTTAATGCCGATAAGTGCATCTTCGGCGCGGAAGAACTCCCCTTTTTAGGGTAATTCATTTGGAAGCGTGGCCTTCGAGCGGATCCTGCCAAGGTCAGGGCCATTTTAAACTGACCAGCTCTCAAGGAAATTAAAGGACTTGCGCAAGATGCTTGGCCTCGCCAACTTCTTGCACAAGTATAGTGCAAGTTATGCGGAAATGGCACGGCCAATTTTAAATCTCCTTCAGAAAAGAACGGTGTTGAAACACCGAGCATCGGAAGTCTTTTGGCAGGGTCAAAGACTGCCTCCTTAATGCACCAATCAACCCCGATCGTCGTCTGTGGCGCTTCGGAATTTGCCATCGGCTTTGCACTGCTGCAAGCAGGCGTCGAGGGGCGAGGTCGGGTAATCGCGTTTGAATCTCGCCAGCTTAAGATTGCGGTGAGAATTCACAACAAGGAATTACTTGCGATGAAGTATGCACTTGTCAAGTTTAAGGTGTACCTGCTTGACTCAAAGTCGTTTTTGATCTAAACAGATCATGTAGCATTGCGCACTGCGACTCAGTCGCCCAACCTCTCGCAGAGGATGGCCAGGTGGCTCTCCTTCTTTGCAAAATATAACTTTGAGGCGAAGTATAAGCCAGGAAAGCGGAATTCTTTGGCTGATGCATTGTCACGCAGACCGGATCATGAGTTTGCTCTTGTCACGACGATGACGTCGTTTGTGACGAATTTGACCCGCGCCGCGTACGCGGGTGGTGACACGTGCGTGACGCTGCTACAGACTTTTGATAGCAAGGAATTTGGTAACTCGGACAAGCATTTGTCGCCGCGATTGCGCGCACAAATTGCACTGATATTCATTGAATAATGGATTTTGAGGTTTGCTGTATTGTAGCACCAACTGGGCGAATAGGCTACGAATTGTTTTTCACGAAAAGAATTCGAAATACCTTATCCTCTATGAGGCCCACGACAACCCACTTAATGGTCACCTCGGTCGTGAAAAGATTTACAACTTTGTGAGTTGCCACTACTAGTGGTCCAAGCTGTACAAATAAATGAGCACATATTTGCGCACGTGTGAGACGTGCCAAAGGGTATAACCCTTCTTCGAATGCGGCGGAGCTGCTGACCAGATATCAGTACCCTCCGTGTCTTGGTAGTCCATGGGTATGGGCTTTGTGTTTGGCCTACCAAAGGGCTCGGCGGGCAACATAGATGTGGTGGTATCTGTGGACCCTTCGTGCAAGATGGCTTATCTTGCGACAGTACCGGACACCATCGACGGTGTTGGTTAGCGATGCTGTTTGTGAATCGTGTTTTTCGACAACATGGACTCCCGGAGTCAATTGCCTATGACAGAGACCCACGCTTCACTGAGAATTTTTGATCGACGTTTTCAAGGTGCTTGGCACCAAGCCGGATATGTCAACAGCAGACCATCCGCAGACCGGTGGTCAAACTGAGCGCGTGAAATGCGTCGTCGAGACGTTCTTCGCAGCGTTTGCGCTGAGACATCAAAGCGCTGAAGCGCCATGCTGCCGCTCGTAGAGTTTGCAATGAACAGTGTAGTGCATTCATCTACCGGCTACACGCCGTTCTGAGTGAGCGGGCTTGTTAGTCCTCGCGCCCCAGTGACGTCACCATCCCATGGCTCAGGGCTTGGTGGGTGCGGAACAGCCGAACGGCTAGCTGATGTCAGTTCTCTCGCTATCCGTAAAGAAGTCGATGACTTCCTGCCTACCAGACTGAGCTTTATACGACACGTTCGCAATGCGATGGCTGAAAGCCAAGACATGCTGAAAGAATATGCAGATGGAATAAGCGGAGACAATATTTATAACATTGAGGTCGGAGACCTGGTTTTATGAAATGCTAAACCCTTTCTCCACATGCAGTCTCTGCTGTCTTTAAAACAAAGCTCCGTTCACGGTTTATGGGACCGTTTAAGGTCGTGGTCAAGCGAGGCCTTGCGTAAATACTGCCTATCCTCCGAGATGAATGCGCACTCACCTCGTGGTTCATGTGGGCTTGCTTAAGCCGTACCGGGATCTGGCGCAAGTATGCGCAAAAGCGTTGGCGCCAGAACGGCACTCAAAGGCGCTCGGCCACCGAGAAGCTAAACCAGCAACTGGTTCTGAGCACGAAGTCCAACAATTTCCGCTTTAGAAGACGCAAGGCGCTCCGCCGTCGCACGAAGTGGTGTATTTGTATGCTCGACGGCTAGGAGCCGCTTGAGCGGAAGCCGTATTCCACATGAGGATCTACAACAAAACGTGGATTTGAGTGCATGAGAGCCACCCTGTGGGCAGCCTCTAATTGCTGCTCTTATGCCTCGTCCAGGCGATTGGTAACAATGCCACTTCTTCCGAAAGTCGAGAGGTCGAGGTGCGGGCACAGTGTCCGCAAGGTTCAAGCAGGGCTCATGTCGCGCCGTTGGCTCACCTCTTCATCCTCGCTAGGAAAGGAGTATCCGACTCATAGTCTACATCCTCCGAATCCTCGACGATAACAATCCGTCACCCGGGGCAGGCGCAGATTGTGACGCTCGGTTTGGCGAGGGCTCGGGATGTGCTTTTCGTGAAGCCACGGACGTACTGACCGGAGATGCATCCCGAAGAGAAGAAAATGATGGGCTTTGCCCGCGGGCACCCTCGGAACAAGCTAGGCTGGTGGTATTTCGTGCCATCTACACAGGGCTCATTGAGCGGAGAATATTTAAGGATGTTCTTAGAAACGAAACGGTGTCACGGACACGCGAGCCTCGTATGAGGTGACAGTAATATTCAAGTTGCGGGTATTAACAATTTTGATGGTTCAGAGTGTAATGGGGTTACACGTACCTCTGTATGGAAGGACGGGTCACACAAGATGGTGTGATCGTCTGTAGGTGTGGATTACTCACGTTGGTGTAATCACACAATGGTGTGGCTACAGAAAGAATCCACTTCGTGACGGGACTGCCAGTAGTTATGCATATTAATTGGTCTTACAATATTAATTGGAAGAGCATAAGGTTTTAGAATTTAGCGGCTCTGCCGCAACTGAATAATCCTGAACAGTTTTTTTATATTACACGGAAAAGCGTCCTTTCTTTGATTAAGGTTCTAAGTACTCTTATAGGTATCGAATTGCGTTCCGCTACACTCGTACTGGTTTTTGAAACTACGTAACGTCGGTGACCTTGGAGCTACGGCAGCCCCGCTGCAGCCCGTCCTGTATGCCCTGGGGCAAAAAGGAGAAAATGCCCATCCTCATAAAGGGTCAGTCGTAACGACTCTGGCGTAGATTGACTACAAGTGCTACTAAGTGCAGCGAAGCTGCCGTAGCTCTTTCGCTGAGAGAAAACGTAAGTTAGGTCAACGAACTTTTCATTTTAAATTTAAAACAAGTACGCGTTTAGCGGATCGCGATCCGCTTACTTCAAGAGTAATTATTGCCTTAACCCAAGGCTAATTAACTCTCCCTTTTTGATTCAAAACTGACTTTTTTATACCTATCTGCGGCAAAGCCGCCTAATTTTTAATGCATAAAATCTCTTTAATATATAGTAAAATCTAAATACATGTATAACTACTGGCTATCCGGCCCCGTACCGTATTCTTGTTTGGATCTGGTCACACCATACCCATCCGGTGTGACACACACCCCTGTTACCAGGTTATGTGTAACCCCGTTATATTCTCCCCCATTAAAATTTACAACTCCAATTGATTATTGCCTCGACGAGGCTTGCGTGTTCGTTAGACACGGCGTTGAAACGAAACGACTTCCGTGCTCAATGAACCTGGTTTCAATGACACAGAAGTCTCCAAGTCTCGCTGGTTCCGACAGCGCTCACCGGCAGAGCCCAACATCGTCTTCCACACGCGGTGCCATGTCAGACCGTGTGTCCGCGGCATCAAGGGTAGTAAATCCTAGGCTCGATGAGCCCGAGCGTCGCGCTCCGCGCACGCTATCAGTGACGACTGACCTCGTTAGGGATGTGGAGGTGGTCGACTACGAGTCTGACACTCCTTTTCCCGGGTGGAATGACGAGGAAGGCGAGCTGCGCCAGTGGCGTGAAGCGAGCCCCGCTCTCGCCTTGCCGACCAATGTCCGTTTCCTGACCTCTCATCACCTGAGGGACGTGGTGTCACCACCAATGATCTTGAAAAGTCCCAGAGGCGGCAGCTGGAAGCTGTCCGTAAGGCGGCTCTGATGCGCACCCATTCACTGTCGGTCACTGACCCTCGTGTGGAATTTGGCTTCTGCCCGGTGGATCCCGCTTTGACAGCGAAGGACGCGGAAACTCGATCGTTTTGCGTCTACATCATCGGGGTCCCGGCCATTACGGAAGCTGGGCTTGCCGCACGGAAAGCCCTTCGAGCTCGTTTCTTGGTCCCACAAGAAATTTCGTTGGACGTTTATCGCACTCGTCTATGTGCTCAACGAGGTGGCTCTCGTATACCCGCAATGTGGACGATATCTGTAGTGCTCGTTTCTGGCGAAGCGCTACAGATGACGAAGTGCTCTTTGAGCGATGGGCGCAACGGCACTAAATACCCTATCTCACTGTATGCCTTACAGTTGAGCT